AGAATATGCACAATAACTTTGGAAAACAATAATTTTCCAGGATTTCGATCAAAATTCGCTGACTTTTCCAGGTTTTTTACAAGGTTTATAAAATTCCCTGACATTTACATAGGTATTTCAGGTTTCCAGGTTGCATGGCAACTCTGAGTTAGTTGAAAAAGCGTTCGATAATTGGGATAAACCTTTACCTTAAATTATGTACAGAAGAAAATTATTCCCAAAGGTGTGTAATACACACAAGAATCAAATATTTAATTAATTTTGTCTCTTTTTTGAAATTTGAGATAAATATAAAACTTGCAAGAAAAAGTGGAATTGTTCTCCTGACTCTGTTTGTCATCGTCGTTCGTTTCGCAAATCTCCCCGGTCCATCTTGCCTTGCGGACAGGAATCAGAGATGGACCAACGTTGGAAAGAATGAGAAAAGTAATGGAAGGTGAGGAGCGACGAGTTGGGGCAAAAGAGAAGGGGCAAACGAAAAAAAGGACCAGCAAGTTTTCGAGAGGGTTATAAAGGTGGAGGCGTTCACCCCGGTAGAGAGTTGGCAGGACAACCACCGGACAGATACAGATATGCTAATACCCGAGTTGTTTACACGTGATATATAGCCGGACTGACGGACACACTGCGGGGCTTACGAGTTCTGATCTCGTGGCTTTCTTTTATATATATCCCCCATACGTTTATAATATGTGTACATACACACGCCTTCGCATTGCCGCACCGCCGCGCCGATCAAGCTACCCTCTCACGAAATCACGGGAGCATCGTGTCAGCAAAAGAGAAAGAGAAAAAGAAAAAGAAAGAGAGAGAGAGAGAGATCTCTGATTCAGGACCAGATTCAATTTGCTTGGCTGCTCGTTAAAAAGTCCTGCGTGAAACATTTTGCAACGTAGGCGATCGCCTAAAACCTAAAGATGTGCCTTTCAATTTTCTCTCCATCCTGGACAGATGCTTTATTAAATCAGAAAACGAAACAGCACATACACACACACACACCTTTCAGAAATTTCATTTCTGAAAATGTATAACGTTCAAATGAAACAAAAAATAAAAAGAATGTAACACGAATATCATTTTGGAGAAAGTCTTAAATCCCTTGTCGGAAGTGACATTTCATACGCGGATAATTTGGTCCAAAATTCTACCATTATACATCTGTTAAATTCTCTTACAGAATAATTTCCCTCACAACTGACTTGTAACGAACCTACAAAGTAGAACAGTTGATCATAAAAATAAAAGGATTAAATTCAGAGTTACCACGCAACCTGCAAATCTATGGAAAACCTGGAAAAGTCAGGGAATTTTATAAACCTTGAAAAAACCTGGAAAAGTCAGAAAATTTTGATTGGAATCCTAGAAAGTTGTCTTGAAATCTAATTTTTCTTTAATTCAAATTTCTTAATTCAATTTTTAAAAGAGTTGCCTTTACAATATTTTTCTTCGCAATAATTCAATTATTTTCATAAATAAAAAAAAGAACTTTATAGATTTACAATTATTTTCGCATAAATAATAAAACTCATCGCAGAATTTCCTGTAATAATTTTTTTCAAATAAAACGAACCGATTTTTGGGAGATTGAAAATTAAATATTAATTATCAAAAATTATTGCAGGGGGTTGTAGGATGTTGAGGGTGGAAAGGATTTGATTTTGGTAGTCTTTTTTGGTTTCGGCGACCCAAAAAACGTAGGTTTAGACACCGTAATCGACTTTTCGTGAAAATTCGAATTTCGACCCCCCACCTTTCGGGTGTTAAGGGGGTTGTTGGGGATTAAGGGAGGGAAGAATTTGTTTTTGGTAGTCTTTTTTGGTTTTAGCGACCTAAAAAACATAGGAATAGACACCCTACTCCACTTTTTTTTAAACTGAAATTCCAACAGGTGTAAGGGGGTGGTAGCGGGAAAATGGCCGATGAAAAAAACTTGTACCTTATTTTTTTGCAAAGGTCCCTCCCTTCTCAAATTTAAGTCTCTGGACTTGAACCTTATTTTTTGCAAAGGTCCCTCCCTTCTTAAATTTAAGTCTCTGGACTTGTACCTTATTTTTTGCAAAGGTCCCTCCCTTCTTAAATTTAAGTCTCTGGACTTGAACCTTATTTTTTGCAAAGGTCCCTCCCTTCTTAAATTTAACTGGACTTGTACCTTATTTTTTGCAAAGGTCCCTCCCTTCTTAAATTTAAGTCTCTGGACTTGAACTTGAATTACAAATTTAAGTCTCTGGACTTGAACCTTTTTTTTTGCAAAGGTCCCTCCCTTCTCAAATTTAAGTCTCTGGACTTGAACCTTATTTTTTGCAAAGGTCCCTCCCTTCTTAAATTTAACTGGACTTGTACCTTATTTTTTGCAAAGGTCCCTCCCTTCTTAAATTTAAGTCTCTGGACTTGAACCTTATTTTTTGCAAAGGTCCCTCCCTTCTTAAATTTAAGTCTCTGGACTTGTACCTTATTTTTTGCAAAGGTCCCTCCCTTCTTAAATTTAAGTCTCTGGACTTGAACCTTATTTTTTGCAAAGGTCCCTCCCTTCTTAAATTTAACTGGACTTGTACCTTATTTTTTGCAAAGGTCCCTCCCTTCTTAAATTTAAGTCTCTGGACTTGAACTTGAATTACAAATTTAAGTCTCTGGACTTGAACCTTTTTTTTTGCAAAGGTCCCTCCCTTCTCAAATTTAAGTCTCTGGACTTGAACCTTATTTTTTGCAAAGGTCCCTCCCTTCTTAAATTTAACTGGACTTGTACCTTATTTTTTGCAAAGGTCCCTCCCTTCTTAAATTTAAGTCTCTGGACTTGAACCTTATTTTTTGCAAAGGTCCCTCCCTTCTTAAATTTAAGTCTCTGGACTTGTACCTTATTTTTTGCAAAGGTCCCTCCCTTCTTAAATTTAAGTCTCTGGACTTGAACCTTATTTTTTGCAAAGGTCCCTCCCTTCTTAAATTTAACTGGACTTGTACCTTATTTTTTGCAAAGGTCCCTCCCTTCTTAAATTTAAGTCTCTGGACTTGAACCTTATTTTTTGCAAAGGTCCCTCCCTTCTTAAATTTAACTGGACTTGTACCTTATTTTTTGCAAAGGTCCCTCCCTTCTCAAATTTAAGTCTCTGGACTTGAACCTTATTTTTTGCAAAGGTCCCTCCCTTCTTAAATTTAAGTCTCTGGACTTGTACCTTATTTTTTGCAAAGGTCCCTCCCTTCTTAAATTTAAGTCTCTGGACTTGAACCTTATTTTTTGCAAAGGTCCCTCCCTTCTTAAATTTAACTGGACTTGTACCTTATTTTTTGCAAAGGTCCCTCCCTTCTTAAATTTAAGTCTCTGGACTTGAACTTGAATTACAAATTTAAGTCTCTGGACTTGAACCTTTTTTTTTGCAAAGGTCCCTCCCTTCTCAAATTTAAGTCTCTGGACTTGAACCTTATTTTTTGCAAAGGTCCCTCCCTTCTTAAATTTAACTGGACTTGTACCTTATTTTTTGCAAAGGTCCCTCCCTTCTTAAATTTAAGTCTCTGGACTTGAACCTTATTTTTTGCAAAGGTCCCTCCCTTCTTAAATTTAAGTCTCTGGACTTGTACCTTATTTTTTGCAAAGGTCCCTCCCTTCTTAAATTTAAGTCTCTGGACTTGAACCTTATTTTTTGCAAAGGTCCCTCCCTTCTTAAATTTAACTGGACTTGTACCTTATTTTTTGCAAAGGTCCCTCCCTTCTTAAATTTAAGTCTCTGGACTTGAACTTGAATTACAAATTTAAGTCTCTGGACTTGAACCTTATTTTTTGCAAAGGTCCCTCCCTTCTTAAATTTAACTGGACTTGTACCTTATTTTTTGCAAAGGTCCCTCCCTTCTTAAATTTAAGTCTCTGGACTTGAACCTTATTTTTTGCAAAGGTCCCTCCCTTCTTAAATTTAACTGGACTTGTACCTTATTTTTTGCAAAGGTCCCTCCCTTCTTAAATTTAAGTCTCTGGACTTGAACCTTATTTTTTGCAAAGGTCCCTCCCTTCTTAAATTTAAGTCTCTGGACTTGAACCTTATTTTTTGCAAAGGTCCCTCCCTTCTTAAATTTAAGTCTCTGGACTTGTACCTTATTTTTTGCAAAGGTCCCTCCCTTCTTAAATTTAACTGGACTTGTACCTTATTTTTTGCAAAGGTCCCTCCCTTCTCAAATTTAAGTCTCTGGACTTGAACCTTTTTTTTTTGCAAAGGTCCCTCCCTTCTCAAATTTAAGTCTCTGGACTTGAACCTTTTTTTTTGCAGAGGTCCCTCCCTTCTTAAATTTAACTGGACTTGTACCTTATTTTTTGCAAAGGTCCCTCCCTTCTTAAATTTAAGTCTCTGGACTTGTACCTTATTTTTTGCAAAGGTCCCTCCCTTCTTAAATTTAAGTCTCTGGACTTGAACCTTATTTTTTGCAAAGGTCCCTCCCTTCTTAAATTTAACTGGACTTGTACCTTATTTTTTGCAAAGGTCCCTCCCTTCTTAAATTTAAGTCTCTGGACTTGAACTTGAATTACAAATTTAAGTCTCTGGACTTGAACCTTATTTTTTGCAAAGGTCCCTCCCTTCTTAAATTTAACTGGACTTGTACCTTATTTTTTGCAAAGGTCCCTCCCTTCTTAAATTTAAGTCTCTGGACTTGAACCTTATTTTTTGCAAAGGTCCCTCCCTTCTTAAATTTAACTGGACTTGTACCTTATTTTTTGCAAAGGTCCCTCCCTTCTCAAATTTAAGTCTCTGGACTTGAACCTTATTTTTTGCAAAGGTCCCTCCCTTCTTAAATTTAAGTCTCTGGACTTGTACCTTATTTTTTGCAAAGGTCCCTCCCTTCTTAAATTTAAGTCTCTGGACTTGAACCTTATTTTTTGCAAAGGTCCCTCCCTTCTTAAATTTAACTGGACTTGTACCTTATTTTTTGCAAAGGTCCCTCCCTTCTTAAATTTAAGTCTCTGGACTTGAACTTGAATTACAAATTTAAGTCTCTGGACTTGAACCTTTTTTTTTGCAAAGGTCCCTCCCTTCTCAAATTTAAGTCTCTGGACTTGAACCTTATTTTTTGCAAAGGTCCCTCCCTTCTTAAATTTAACTGGACTTGTACCTTATTTTTTGCAAAGGTCCCTCCCTTCTTAAATTTAAGTCTCTGGACTTGAACCTTATTTTTTGCAAAGGTCCCTCCCTTCTTAAATTTAAGTCTCTGGACTTGTACCTTATTTTTTGCAAAGGTCCCTCCCTTCTTAAATTTAAGTCTCTGGACTTGAACCTTATTTTTTGCAAAGGTCCCTCCCTTCTTAAATTTAACTGGACTTGTACCTTATTTTTTGCAAAGGTCCCTCCCTTCTTAAATTTAAGTCTCTGGACTTGAACTTGAATTACAAATTTAAGTCTCTGGACTTGAACCTTATTTTTTGCAAAGGTCCCTCCCTTCTTAAATTTAACTGGACTTGTACCTTATTTTTTGCAAAGGTCCCTCCCTTCTTAAATTTAAGTCTCTGGACTTGAACCTTATTTTTTGCAAAGGTCCCTCCCTTCTTAAATTTAAGTCTCTGGACTTGTACCTTATTTTTTGCAAAGGTCCCTCCCTTCTTAAATTTAAGTCTCTGGACTTGAACCTTATTTTTTGCAAAGGTCCCTCCCTTCTTAAATTTAACTGGACTTGTACCTTATTTTTTGCAAAGGTCCCTCCCTTCTTAAATTTAAGTCTCTGGACTTGAACTTGAATTACAAATTTAAGTCTCTGGACTTGAACCTTTTTTTTTGCAAAGGTCCCTCCCTTCTTAAATTTAAGTCTCTGGACTTGAACCTTATTTTTTGCAAAGGTCCCTCCCTTCTTAAATTTAACTGGACTTGTACCTTATTTTTTGCAAAGGTCCCTCCCTTCTTAAATTTAAGTCTCTGGACTTGAACTTGAATTACAAATTTAAGTCTCTGGACTTGAACCTTATTTTTTGCAAAGGTCCCTCCCTTCTTAAATTTAACTGGACTTGTACCTTATTTTTTGCAAAGGTCCCTCCCTTCTTAAATTTAAGTCTCTGGACTTGAACCTTATTTTTTGCAAAGGTCCCTCCCTTCTTAAATTTAACTGGACTTGTACCTTATTTTTTGCAAAGGTCCCTCCCTTCTCAAATTTAAGTCTCTGGACTTGAACCTTATTTTTTGCAAAGGTCCCTCCCTTCTTAAATTTAAGTCTCTGGACTTGTACCTTATTTTTTGCAAAGGTCCCTCCCTTCTTAAATTTAAGTCTCTGGACTTGAACCTTATTTTTTGCAAAGGTCCCTCCCTTCTTAAATTTAACTGGACTTGTACCTTATTTTTTGCAAAGGTCCCTCCCTTCTTAAATTTAAGTCTCTGGACTTGAACTTGAATTACAAATTTAAGTCTCTGGACTTGAACCTTTTTTTTTTGCAAAGGTCCCTCCCTTCTCAAATTTAAGTCTCTGGACTTGAACCTTATTTTTTGCAAAGGTCCCTCCCTTCTTAAATTTAACTGGACTTGTACCTTATTTTTTGCAAAGGTCCCTCCCTTCTTAAATTTAAGTCTCTGGACTTGAACCTTATTTTTTGCAAAGGTCCCTCCCTTCTTAAATTTAAGTCTCTGGACTTGTACCTTATTTTTTGCAAAGGTCCCTCCCTTCTTAAATTTAAGTCTCTGGACTTGAACCTTATTTTTTGCAAAGGTCCCTCCCTTCTTAAATTTAACTGGACTTGTACCTTATTTTTTGCAAAGGTCCCTCCCTTCTTAAATTTAAGTCTCTGGACTTGAACTTGAATTACAAATTTAAGTCTCTGGACTTGAACCTTATTTTTTGCAAAGGTCCCTCCCTTCTTAAATTTAACTGGACTTGTACCTTATTTTTTGCAAAGGTCCCTCCCTTCTTAAATTTAAGTCTCTGGACTTGAACCTTATTTTTTGCAAAGGTCCCTCCCTTCTTAAATTTAACTGGACTTGTACCTTATTTTTTGCAAAGGTCCCTCCCTTCTTAAATTTAAGTCTCTGGACTTGAACTTGAATTACAAATTTAAGTCTCTGGACTTGAACCTTTTTTTTTGCAAAGGTCCCTCCCTTCTCAAATTTAAGTCTCTGGACTTGAACCTTATTTTTTGCAAAGGTCCCTCCCTTCTTAAATTTAACTGGACTTGTACCTTATTTTTTGCAAAGGTCCCTCCCTTCTTAAATTTAACTGGACTTGTACCTTATTTTTTGCAAAGGTCCCTCCCTTCTCAAATTTAAGTCTCTGGACTTGAACCTTTTTTTTTTGCAAAGGTCCCTCCCTTCTCAAATTTAAGTCTCTGGACTTGAACCTTTTTTTTTGCAGAGGTCCCTCCCTTCTTAAATTTAACTGGACTTGTACCTTATTTTTTGCAAAGGTCCCTCCCTTCTTAAATTTAAGTCTCTGGACTTGAACTTGAATTACAAATTAATAACTAGCAAGCAACTATAGAATCGATTCCATATACTGGTTAACCGAATTGTTTTCTCTAATCGAAAGTAGAACATTTCTATTTTTCATTTTTACAATTTAGAAAAAAAAAGAATTACCAAAAATGTACAGAATTTATTATTTATTATTATTGTTTAATTATTATTGTTATTATTTAAGTACTATTATTATTATTTAATTACTATTGGGTAAGAATTCCTGAAGTGGGCCCCTATTTTTCATTGGGTCGGTGGATTTTTCTCATTCTTATATGTTTCGATAGCCTATGATGGCATAATAAAAACTTGTAAATAGTTTTCCGAAATTCGAATATTTGCCAAAGTTATTCAAGGTCAAAGTTATTTGTAGCGTTTTAGTAAATAGCTAATTACTCGCGATCGGATGAACCGATTTTAATAAAAATTGGAGGAGAGTTTACCTCAAGAATTGTACTTTAGATAAATGATCAAAATTTTAATTACAAAATATAATTTGTTTAAATAAATTAACTTTTTAATTTTTGGGGTTAAAAAAAAATTTGTTCTCCATCTTTTTTTTGCAGGTTTCAAATTATAATCTTTGAATGTTTGAATTTTTCATACTTTTAACTTAAAATTGTGTAGATTTAATTTTTTTGTAGAAGTTGAATTGAATCTTTTTTAAGTTATTTCAAGTTTTTATTTTCTAATATATATTTGATAGGAGAATTTCCGAATAATCGATGAAATTTCGTAAAATTGAATTGTTAATACAAAAGGAATTGATAATGTTCAAAGAAATATTTCAAAAATTATTAAAAATGAATGAATAATTAATTTAAAGAAGAATTTTAGTTAAAAATTCTGGAAATCAATAATTGAATAAATTGAAATGATGAAAGTAATTTTTATTTATTATAAAACATAAAGAAATCGATTGCTCCGAGTCGAAGACTCGATTTCTTTATGTTTTATAACAATTTTTTTATTAATTAAGTTGTTTAATGTCAAAAAGGTTTGAATTAAAAATTTTGTAAAATAAAAATTTTAAAATCCTGGAAAAATTCCGTTTTTTAACCTGGAAAAATCAGGGAATTTGAAATGAGCAATAGCGTCGCAACCCTGGATTACATTCCGAAAAATACTTCACGTGGGCAAAAAAATAGAAACCTCAAAGGATAGGGAAGAAGCAAAACTATTTTCTTTTATTTTCAACTTTTGCAAAAAGTATGTCGAACTATGGAAAGAAGGAAAAATATAATATTTTGAACCTATGGGCAAAGAATGGCAAACCATATGAAGTAGGGCTCGAATTAATTATTAAATATTTGATTTTGATGTGTATTACACCTTTGGGAATAATTTCCTTCTGTACAGTATATATACGAGCGGTTTGAAGAAAATTTGAAGGCATTCATGAAGATGAGAGAGATTGAACTTTTCACTTTATGGAAGTTCCACGAAGTCGCGATTGATTTCGGGCCTCTAACGAAGAGGAGGAGGAGAAAAGGGGCGCAGAGGCGAAATTATGATCGGGTGTTGAGAGAGAGAGAGAGAGAGAGAGAGAGAGGGTCCATCGTAATAGCGGTCGAATCATTTTGACTGGGTATTTTTCGAAATGACTGGGCTTCGCGGTGCAATGGAATGCTATAGCCAAGCTCCGAATTGCCTGCAGATGCAGTCGTGCAATGGAAAAGGAAAGAAGAGAATGAGGGGAGAGGGGTTCAAGATCGGCAAAGTGAAGAGAAATGTCAGAAGAAGTCTTGTCTTTGTATAAGAATAGTATAAGAGAAGATGAGACAAAAGAAACTAAAATAGTTTTAAAAAAAGAAGACACCTTTACCTGAAGAGATCATAAAATTGCTCATTCTGCTTTCCATTTCCACAAGGTGCTTCTTTTTTTTGCTTTTTTAATCCCTTTTTTCAAATCCAATTATTTCTTCCTGCTGCTTGTTCTTTATTACCCCCCTCTCTCTTTCCCTCTTACTCTCTAAATTTCATACACTTAACATCATGGCTTTTTCACATTTTTCATCCATATGTCCGTCTAGCACGCAAATGCAAACCTCTTTGATTTTCGTGGTTGCAAAATACGTCAAGTTTCGAAAATATCCCTCTCATTTACGTTAAAAGTGATTTGCCTCAGGCAAAATTTACTGGACTCGTCGATTTGCGAACGCGCATCACTAAAGCGTTCCTCTCACACATCGTAATCAGACGCGCATTGCCTGGCTACTCTCACATCACTACAAAACCTACAAAAACATCGGCGTAATTTTATTATCCATTTTTTTCCCCCTACTCTAAACACCCGAAGAATCTGCTCTTCTTAGATAATCATTTGACCGTACCTATAAGAGGGAGGGGGAATAGTTTTTAAAAAAATGGAAGCAGAGAAGAAAAGAGATTTTTGATTAATTAATTTAATGTTCTAAAAAAGAAGTTCCAATACGGAACCTAAAAAAGATCAAAAGTTAAAATTTGAGAAGAGGACCGCGCATACTGTTATTGCAACTTTGAAAATAAATTGAACCATATATAGTGCTCCTTATGCAATCATTCAATTTTCAAAACTTTAACGCAATTCTTTAAAAAAAAAAAAATTCAACTAATTTTAAATAGGAAAACTCTTCGCTGAAATTTAATTATAGTTAGGAATTTTTATAAAATTCATTGTAAAATTCAATTATTTTTAATAAATAATAGTATTTATGACAAGAATTGAATTATTTTGAAAATAATTGAAAAATCAAATAATAAAATTCAATTATTTTAAAATTTATAAAATTCTTCGGAGAAATTAAATTATTTTCAAAAAATATTAAAAAAATTGTCAACATTTCAATTATTTTTATAAATGAATAGCAAAATTCATCGATAAAATTCAATTATTTTCAGGAATTTTAATAAAATTCATTGTCAAATTCAATTATTTTTGATAAATAATATTATTCATCACAAGAATTCAATTAGTTTGAAAATAATTGAAAAATAAAATAATAAAATTCAATTATTTTCAGAAGTAATAAAATTATTTACAAAAATTCAATTATTTTCAAATAATCTAAAAAAAATTGTCAACATTCCAATTATCCTTATAAATAAAAAGCAAAATTCTTCAATAAAATTCAATTATTTTAAGGAATTTCATATTATATTATTTTTATAAGTAGTATTCATCACAAGAATTCAATTATTTTTGAAAATTTTTCTTATTTCAATGATTTTCAATATTTTACGATTTTAATAAAATTTTCCCAAAAGAATATTTATACTAATTTTGAATTTTCTTTCTGTTCCAGGTATGTTCTTTTTGAATAATTAAACTGGGAAGTTACTGTGAGTATAAAAATTTGTTGAAATATTATTCAGGGTTGCCACAGGACAAGGAATTTAGGAAAATACCAGAATTTTTTCTTGAAAGTACTGGAAAAAATTAAATGTTTAGAATTTATATGAAAATTCTTTTCAGAATTTCAATTATTTTCAAAATTTTTTTTTAAAACTCTCGTAAACATTTCAATTATTTTTATAAGTA